TAACTTCTCCCCTTCCAGAAAATAATCTGTTCTTTTATTCTTGCTACCGAGGTGAATAATTTCACACTTGCTAACATTGAATTCCATCTGCCACCTACTTGCCCACTCCCCGAGCCTATCTATATCCCGTTGCAATCTTTTTGCATCATCCTCAGAGCTCACTCTCCCACCGAGTTTAGTATCATCCGCGAATTTAGACACATTACATTCAATGTCCTCGTCCAGATCATTGATGTAAATGGTAAATAGCTGAGGCCGAGGCACTGATCCTTGTGGCACTCCACTAGTTACATCCTGCCAATTCGAGAATGATCCGTTTATCACTACTCTCTGCTTTGACTCTCTGACATGATGGGCCGAATGGCCTCCTTCTGTGTTGTTTAATTCGAAGAACTCCTTCCGTCCCACCCCTCACAGAACCGTGATAAGGTCCACCGAGCCATCACTTTCCACTCCACCAGCCTCATCATTCAACGTATAATCCTTGTAAATTCCACCAACTCCAGCGTGATCTCACCACCAAACATATTTTTCCTTCCTTTCCTCTCTCAGCATTCTGAAGGTGGCCCTCTCTTCATGACTCCCTGGTCCACACCTCTACACCACTAACACATGCTCTCCCTCCCCGGGATTCAAACCCAGGTCCTCTTGCTTGCGAGGTGGGTTCTCCAACCACAGAGGTACAGGACTCCACAATACACTACAGTACATGAATACAGACTCAAGGATCAAAAGGCTGCCCTTTATCTGCCTTTAGGCTGTGCAACCAGACTGTGAGATTGTTATCATTTTTATCCTTGTTCACATGATATCTGCAAAGTCCTTTTCCTTCTGCTCATCTTCCGTGACCCTCAAAAACTGTCATCAAGCTGTGAGACTAGAGCAGATTGTCCCAGTGTCTGGGCAGCTGTATACGGACACTATATGTCCAGTGCTGAGACACTCGGTTACTGAGATGGCACAAAATCAGCCTTTTATAACATCCACAATAATAACAGTAATAATCCTTGCAATTGAGACAGCGCCTTATCACGTCTTCTACAAGTCTCAAAGTGCTTCACAGAATATATGTTATACGTAGACTATGTTTTGTGCGCAAAACGCGGCAGCCAATTGCGCACAGCAGTGTCCCACAAACAGTGGTGGATTGAGTGACCACATTTTTTTCTTTTGAAGGGATTATTACTCCCGCCAATTGACGAACAACCGGCTTCCAACTCACTGCTAGGTAACAGAGGCACGTGGAGTAAGGCCCAACGTTTTGCCCTGCCTGGGAATCAAACTCAGGTCCTCTCGCTTGCAAGGCGAGTGCTCTAACCACTAAACTACAGGACTCCACATGTCTGTCCATTTTAATATTTCCAATGCATATATTTAAACTTCAATTTAAAAGGTAGAATAAGAGACAATGTACAGCCCACAGGTCATTCTGTAAATGTAGCAGACAGAGAAGAAAAACTATTTGCATTGTTTTATGGCGCGTTTCCTTTATCCTTTGTATTTTAGCCTCTTTCTTCCAATGCTTGACAAGGAGGAAGGCAGTGGCTCTCAGTGCCTACACTCACTCCTGGGAACCTCTCTGCTTGGACCTTCCTCTTCCCCACAGTCTCTCAACAGGGCTCACATTAAGCGATCCGCCAATCGACTAACGACCACCAGGTAAACAATTACTGCTAGGTAACCAGAGGCATGTGTGTGGAGTCAGAAAACTTGCCTAAGGTTTCGCCCTGCCGGGAATCGAACCCAGGTCCTCTCACTTGCAAGGCTGCTGGCATTCTCAGGCTGGGCTGCTGGCAGGGAATTCCTGCGCTATTAGTGATAGCAGGTTGTCCTTGGCAAGTCAGGGCAATCCATCTCAACGGCTGTACGGTGAGAGGACAACAGTCATTGACATGAAGGGGCTATAGGCCATGCAGCTCTGATATCTGTAAATTAAACAGTAGCATCTGACACTGTTCCTGTAATATAAGCAAATATTCCCCACTTTGACTCACACTAATTACTCTGTTAATTGATGCTCACCACACTTTCCCTGATTCATTGAATGATTAGACTGGAAGCTAAATGTTGACACATCTGGTGAGTTAGAGAAGACTGTCTATAATTACGCTTAATGTTAAATAAATGTTTGCTAATTGGAGGCTTTGCTCACACGTACTCTAACATGTGGCATAAAATGACCAGGATTTGGATAGAGGAAGAAAGCTGCAACAGGAAAATAGATTATTAAAAGGCAAACATGTTTCTAAATGTTATCTTGTGTGAATACTGCAAGATATTGTCTACCTGTGGTTAATTTGCTGATTAGATATGGATATGTGAGATTTCTTAGGCAGAGCGAATAAAGATCAGCATTTGATAACCCCTGTAACAAAATATTTAAATAGGTAAATAAAAATAAGGATGCAACACGTACTAAAGAAATACAGCATTGATATATATATGTGGTACATCAAATGCTGGAGTTCTTAGACATGGTCTCAGAGTAAAATGGGAGGTTTCATCCATTGGCCTTGATCTTAGTCTGAATTTAGATCCAGATTGTGGAACTATGAGATGGATTTCTAAGTAAAACGGATCAAAATGTCAATTCATTCACTTCTGTGGATAAACTGCACCAACATGACAGATACTTAATCTAAACAGAGTTTACATCCACATTAAACTGTCAGGCTTGCCTCAGTCAGTACATTCTCACCTCCAAGTCAGAAGTTCAATTCCAGGCAGAGGGCGAAACCTCGGGCAAGTTTCCTTACTCCACACAGAGCCTAATAATAATCCCTCCAAAACCAAAAACAATAATAAATTGGTCATTTTCAATCTACGACTGTTTGTGGGACATTACTGTGCGCAATTGGCTGCTGCGTTCGCCCACAAATATACAGTCAATTCACTTTACAGTGTGTTCTGTGAAGCGCTTTGGAACATCCTCCTGACGTGAAAAGCGCTATATCAAATGCAAGGATTATTATTATTATTATTATTATTATTATTAGAAGGATGTGGGTTCAAGCTCCACTTCGGGACTTTGAACTAACAGTCCAGGCTGATCTTCAGTACAAGAATTGTTCCACAAAGTCAACCATTGCCTTGAATAAGCTGACTCAGCAAGATGAATGTGTAAGAGGAGCCAACATGTCCCTCTGGCGGAAACATATTCATTACGATGCTAGATGAGTGAATATGACAATTAGGCAGAGCACATGGCTTCGCTCCCAATGCCTGGCATCAATCCTCCGGCTGCCAGCAGCACCACAGGCAGATTCATTGCTTAATGACCTATACAAGCCGTGCTTCCAGAGACTTTTCACATAGGACGACTGAGCTAAAGTGGAGCTTAAAAGAGACTCACAATTACCAAGGTCAGGCCAACAAGCTATCGTTAATGTGCTTTACAGTACAGTGACTCCAAGAACAGGCTTGCATGCCATCACGGGGTAGGTTTAGAAAATAATTGAGTAATTTTGCTTCTCACCCACCCATTTCCTATAACTCTGGAATGTATGTAAGCATGTTTCTGTAAGTATCAACGTTATACTGATGCCTTGCCAAAATCTTGTTACCTTTTTAACCTCTCACCAACAAACAACTTGCATTCGATCCCTTCTGATCCCAACCACCAGCTCGGGTACGGATCCCTCACTATCCAGCGACTTGGGACGTACTCCTGATGTGAAAGGTACGGTACACGTGTAATTTGTTGTTGCCTTTATATAGTGCCTTCTTGTAAGTTAATGTCAGAGCGAGAACGTGTTTGGACACTGATCAAACGCGTGGGGGGAGGGGAGAGCAACGCTGCCACAGGCAGTTAAAGAGACACACAGGGCAGAAAGGCTTCAGGTTTACTCCCTGCTCCACGCTGAGTGCTGAGTTACATGTTCTCATCCAGGACAGCAATAAATAGCAATGTTACCTAATGGGCTGAGCATTATCAGCCAGGCCTGTGCCCTCCCACCTCTCTCCCTGTTTGAAGCTGATATTTTATAAGCTGACATCAGGTTTGGCGGTAATGCTGGTGATTGCTGGCTGACTTACACAGCGGTGACCAGTGGGGCAACGGAACACAAGCTGCTGGTGCCCAGGGAATTAATGGTGTCAATGAAAATTGACTTACAATTAACAGAACACAGCCAGTCCCTGTTGTGACAGCACGACAGCCAGCAGGGGCTCGCAAGCTGATTCCTGGACTAAACATTTGACTTTGAATATTATAATTGAAGCAAAAAGAGAATTGGGAATTGACATATTTAACAACAACATCAACTTGCATTTATACAGTGCCCCTCACACAGATAAGTGTCCCAGAGTGCCACCCTGCGTTACAATATCTATTCAGCAACTATCATCTGGATTTAACAAAACAACTCCATCTTCAAATATACCGACTCACACACCTGTCTTGAAGCTAAGATTTCAATTGCGTCTGCACGATGGGGCTCCCGCATATTGGAGAGCGAGTATCAAAGCTCAGTAACAAAAGAGCTCTTTGTTTTCATTAATTCCTCCCATCTCTTTCCCAATGAAAATACCAACCCAGCTGCATTTGCACTTAGCTGTTTATTCCTCACTCGTGTTGGTAAAACACAAATCAGCATCTGGTATTAAAGCAGCACTTGTGAGGAGGAAAACAAGGTGACTTTCATGGAAATGCATGCTTAGCCACAGCACGGTTTGTTTGTGTGGCCTATCCTTGCAAAAACTGCTGTTGATTTAACTGACACAAAGAGGCTTTAATCCATTCAAAGGAACTGATCACTGGAGAAAACTGCAACAGCATAAAGCCTCCCTGTCAAGCAGAGCTATTCACAGCCAGATGGATGTCACAAAGTAATGGATATAAGTAAACAAAGATAAGAATGTGGGAAATCCATCGGATTCTAAGCTAGAAAGAGGGAAGGCCTTTTGTCCATTAATCATTCCCTTCCTCTACAAGGTAAGTCCTTTGCCCTTGTTACCAGCAACAAGTCAGGAATGTGGACTGACTGGGAGCCTCATTTACATCAGTTGCAAACTAACTGGGGGAACTCGAAAGGCTTTGGGAGAGATGCTGAGACTGGGGAGACGCCGGGTTTCTTACCTTTACTGCTGCTGGTGAGGAAAAGCTTCTCGGAGTTGGCATCGGAAACCTGGAGGACAAACAAAGTGATGAGTCACAACGAGGTTCACAATAAAACGTTTTGAAGCAAGTTTTCCAGGAATGACCGAGGACAGTTCTCGGAAATGCCAGAGGATGGCAGTAGAACTTAAAACAAACTTCCCCCTCGATCCCCTCCAGCACAGTCTGTCAGACAGCAGCCAAAGCCGGCAACAACATCCAGACCAGCGGCTGAGGAGACACCACACCAGACTGCATTGCGCTGCTTCTCTCCTCTCAGGCTCAGAAAGGATCCTCCAGTTAATTAAAAACTCTTCTTAAACCTTTATCTAAACCTTCAGTTTATGGCTTCAGACACCTCGATATAGCCTAAAATCTGCTTCACATCAGCAGGTAATCACTGGATCATTTCAGCTGCACGAGCAATTGATATCAACAGACATTTGTTCCAGGCTGGTATCTGATCTTATTTCCAGATGTAACCAGACATAAGAGGCTTTAAATATGTAAAACAGCTATTGTAAACCTTCAGTGATCCTCCTTGCACCAGCTTCTGGAGCTAGCTTGGGATCACCATTATAGAATCCAATACTAAGCTCCCAGTAATAACCTATAGGCTTAGGATCAGAATCAACATCCAGTATGCATTTGACAAACACCATGTAATCTCGCACTTTGGATCATGTCGATGGCACTAAGTTAATCTTACACATTGTTTAGAGCCAATCCTGAGCATTTCTAGAGAGGTTAGACTCCGGTTTACAGCACTGAAGGCAGTCATTATGTCTGTGGCAGTGCTAGCTCTCAACTGGAGCTCTCTACTCTAACCTCATTCCCTGGTCTCTCTCTCCCCATCACAACAACAAAATGACATTGTTGTGCTAGTGCTCGCTCCCCTTCTGGAGCTCTCTACTCTAACCCCATCACCTGATCTTTTCCCTATATCCGGGTTTATTCTCCCGTTTCTTGGACTGTAATAGGCTTTTCCAATCCTGCAGATTCCTAATAATAATCCTGGCATTTGATACAGCGCCTTATCATGCCTTCGAGATGTCTCAAAGCGCTTCACAGAATATACTGTAAAGTGACTTGACTGTATTTTGTGTGCAAAACGCAACAGCCAATTGCACACGGCAGTGTCCCCCAAACAGTCATGGGTTGAGTGACCAAATTATTATTATTATCTTTTGAAGGGATTATTAACCCTGGAAAAGCGATCCACCAATCAACTAACAACCAGGTTCCTACGGACTAGGCCACCAGCGGCATGTGAAGTAAAGAAACTTGCCCAAAGTTCTACCTCCCCGGGAATCGAACCCAGGTTTTCTTGCTTGCGAGGCGAGCGCTCTAACCACAAAGCTACAGGAACCCACAGGATTCCTATGGAAAACAGCCCAACCTTAACTCCAACCCTTCATCCTTGGAATCATTTTACTGAATCTCTGCTGTACACTCTCCACTTCTGATGTGTTGTGTCTATAAATGACAATTTACTGTCTCTAATTCCTCTGATCACACAGTCTTTACAGGGGTTATTCTCGCGGTCAGCAGTTGCCCGAGGCAGTTGTTGTGAAAGCAAGCTGAATAAAACATGTGTAATTGACCTAAAACGGAGAGCAACAGCATTGGAAGAGGGCACCACAGGCTGACAACAGATTACTGTGGCTAAATTCTTCTACATTTTATTCATCCAATAAAATAAATTCAAACCGTGGCTGTGTAAACATTTCCTTGTACTCATCTGAGCCACACACTTTTCAACCCAGGATTGTGAGTGAGGAGTGACAGAGGGGGTTTGGAATGGAAACCCCATGAAGCAAATTATTGTGAATTCTGCTGCTGCAAACACTCAACGCAATTCAGACCGGATCCTCACAATCCAGTTACAGTACGGCAACCTCCCCTCCCTCTGTCCCTCAATCAAATATTATTCTCATCAGAAAATGCAGAATCACACAGCCCAACCTTTACTGATTGTGTCAAAAGACACTCTACTCCTGTAACATTACTGGGTTTCAGGTTAGTAAACAATTGGGAGACTGTGAGAATGTGACATTTAAACAGTTTTTTACCACATGGGATTACCTCTGCCTCCTGCGGGTTACAGCACAGGGAGCTGACTGTCAGGGATGGCCGCAGCCCGAATAAAAGTAATTGAAAATCGCTGTTCACAACTGAGGCACTGGATTGAGCTAATAGAACAGAGATATTGTTTTGTTTAAGGTTTGGGCAATAGATACTAATAAAGTATGACTGACAAACTGTTCATTTAATTGGTCGATCACTGCTCTAAACCGAAGAGCCTAATATAAATGCTGTGGTTACTTACACAATACTGCACAGAGAAAAGAAAATTTCTTTATTTAAGTGCTCCGAGACACGGAGGGCGATGAGGGATAAGGCAGGGCAGGGGGGGTGATGGACAGCTCGCTGTGAGTGGGTGGAGCAGTGGGGCAGTGGGTGGGGAAGTGGGGTTTGCTGTGGGGCAGTGGGTGGGGTTGCTGTGAGCTGGTTGGGGGGCAGTGGGGTGAGATTGCTGTGGGTCGGGGGAGGGGGAAGACCTGCTGGGCCGAATGGCCTCCTCGTGTTCTGTAATTTTCTAGAATTCTACATTGTGGAGTCCTGTAGCTCAGTGGTTAGAGCACTCGCTTTGCAACTGAGAGACCTGAGTTCAATTCCCGGCAGGTCAGAGCCAAACCTCGGGCAAGTTTCCTTACTCCACACAGAGCCTAATAATAATCCCTCCAAAACCCAAAACAATAATAAATTGGTCATTTTCAATCCATGACTGTTTGTGGGACATTGCTGTGCGCAATTGGCTGCCGCGTTCGCCAACAAATATACAGTTAATTCACTTTACAGTATATTCTGTGAAGCACTTTGGGACGTCCTCCCGATGTGAAAAGCGCTATATCAAATGCAAGGATTATTATTATTATTATTTGTATCTGATTTGGTGACGGAGAAGATTTTGGTCAGGCACAAATAACAACAACCAATAATCCTTGTGTTTGACCTAACACCTTATCACGTCAGACATCTCTCAAAACACCTTCCAGGGCAGACTGTAAAGCCACGAGGCTGTGGGCATGTACACACACACACACACCAGGCTGTGGCGAGTCACTTTACAACCCCAGCCCATCTCTGGCTCCAAAGCCCTGGCACAGGAGCAGCTTTCAGCTCACAATCTGCCATCAGCTGCCAGTGCACATGGCAACTCATAGCTCTAACAACTTGCAGTCAGTCGGCATCCAAAAGCTCTGCTACACAGCAGCAACCCAACTGCTTTCAGAGAGGTTTCACTCCGTCTAGTTACAGAGTGTGAATTATTTATGCAGTGACTTTAAAATGCCTTTTAAATTCACTTCTACAGTTATGTTTTATAAATATTTTACATTATACAATTTAAAGATGAGTTAACGTGTTGGTGAAGATGCTGGGCTGTCTTTAGTAACAGGCTGAACGGAGCTAAGATGCAGTCGCTTTAAGGATTTAACACCGCTTCCTTCTGAGAAGCACAAAGGTCGACAGTTTCATTCTGAACAAACTCCGTCTGTAAATGTCAACTGAACGCAGTCTAATCCCCAGCCGTCTCCACAGTCCAGGCTATTTGCGATGGGAAATTAAGCATTTTAAAAGCAATTTAAGGCAATACAAAAATGAATGTAGTACAGGGTGGGGGGTGGGGGTGTTGATGTGTGAACAGTTAGTGTTAAACCACAGCTCCGACAGTCAGCTGTACCTGCCCATTGCCGCTCCCTGCCAGAAACCCATCGTTTCTCTAACGTGTGTAACCTCCTTCACATTGATCTGTTTTCACCCGGAGCTGATTGTTTTCATAAAGAAATCACTTCATCTATTTGACGTGCCTCAGGAGTGAACCTGAAAATGTTTGTGACCCAGTGAATGGCTTTAATTCACTAATTCTCATCACTATTCATCCACTACTCATCAAGAGAATGGTAGTCATTGCCAACACCTCCCTTCAGACATCTCCCCAAACCTGTTCAGCTTGTGTCTTCCCTCCACATGCCCTCTGCCTAACCACCAGGTCTTTTCAATCTCTTTAAGAATGTTGAAGCTGACAGCGCCAGCACTGGTGACCTTGGGATTGTCCAGGCCATCGGAGATCCTCTGAATGGCCTCCTAGGCTGACATTTCCGGAGCATCTCCGTCTTCTCATTATCTGTTCTTTGGTCAACAAGACTGTGGTCGAGCCTAGAATAATCCCCACCGCTCTGCTGCTGACATACAGTGAGCTTTGCTACAGATTCTCGCTGGGTATTTTGCCCGGGTTCAAAACCTGCTCTGACCTGACAAAGTGCTGCCCCAGCCCAGATGCTCCCACTATTCCCGTTCCCCGCCTGTGAGTGGAATTAGCTTCCAGTCAGCCAGCCAGCGGGCGGTCACAGTAATGACTCGATTAATGGAAAGATTGTCGGTTTAGCTGAGCTCAGGAACTCGCCATAGGTCTGAGTGACAGTTTGTGCTGCAACAAGTTAATACTTCAAATAGATCCTGACACTCGGTGGACACCAGCTGCTTCATGTCCCCCGGACTTGGTGATCGGCCATTCAGCATCTCTGCCCCCACACTCTGGAACTCTATCCCACAATCCCTCCACCTCACCCCCACTCTTGCCTCGTCAAGTCCTGTCTAATGACCTTCCTCTTTCACCGTACTATCGGCCACCCCCACCTCCCACAACCTCGCCACCTACCTACCCATCCGCAACCCTCCCCACCTCCCTCACGCCCCCCACCCATCACCCTTAGCTCAGAGACAGCTCCTGGTGACTCTTCTGTGGACACTGGTACCTGTCAGGGTTTCCCAGCAAATCTTTGACCAGACGACTAAAAGCTAAACATGGGGCTGGTTGGAAGCCCTGAGAAAGCACAGGCACAAAGGATTGTATTGATTTGTGCACAGAGCAGTAAACAAGAGACACAGCTTGAAAGGGATCTGAAGCAAAGATAAGATCATCCATCACTTGTGGCTGATGGCAGGTATCAGACTCACGACAAGATC